CAGGGCAGACTGTCACACAAACCCAATGTGATAGGGCCCAAAACAGAAAGTAAACTCGCAGAAGCAATAGTCCCTGGAGCAAGCCTCATCCTGATGACTGATATGGGAAATGACTGTAGAATTGTGAGAGTGGATCATAACCAAGTGATCCACAAGAAGAGGTATGAAATAGGAACACACTTGATAGACGGCCATGAGTTCCAGAATGTAGTTGACGAAGGTACGCTTTACAGGAGACCAAAACCCCGGGGCCATGAATTCATCCAGAGACACACCTTAACCTGTAAGATACATCAGTGAAGGAACAGAAATCCATGTGGGGGCACCAGTGGGATGGTGATTGCAGTATTGGCACAATTCAGCCACCAAAACAGATCCCCAAGAAGAGAAGATGGTAGCTTCACAAGAGAGGACAGAGGATTGCAAGAGATTTTCCAGTGGTCACTCATAGTTCATTGAAAAATCCCCATGTGAGCCCAGCTTATAAAGTCCCAATAGAGATAAAATCTTTCATGCAGGATGTATTGGATAGAAAAGAGTTGAGGTAACTAGATACTCCTTGTCCCAAAGATGAATGTGGAAGGCTAAGCACAAGTGAGTCAAGAATTAACCTTTTGGTTGTCAGCTTCTAATTTTTTAGAAGGTAACGTCCCATATTTCATCCCAAAAATAAAACTAGTGAATGAAAATGTTTAAAATTTGACAAGAACGTTTCTAAAAGTATGTAGTTTCAGAAAAATAAAATATTTAATATCTATTTTTACTACTATTTCTGATAAAAAAATTCGTTATTTAATGTACATATTTGCTTTCGGACTCTGAATAGTTCTCCTGCAAGTTGATTTTTATATGAAGTATAAAAATACTATTTATTATCTTACAGTTTACTTTGCATATCTCTAGAACCTCCTAAATGAATATGAAGTTATTTTAAGGTAAATGTTTATATTTTATTTTCCATTTTCTCTACTATATCACTAACTCTACCTATTATCATCAACATAAAGTGCAATGAAATATTTAAAATTAAGATATGGAAAAAAGTACATACCTTTTAGCTCTTTGTAGAAGTCTTTTGAAACTTGTTTTTTTAATGTACATAAATTCATGTCTTTATCTTTATACTTAGTTTATTTTCAATTTTCCTTTCCAATTTTTAATCTTTTATTATATATGCCGATATGTCAACTGGTGGGGATTTATCATAATTTAATGGCAACTCCCACACAGAGACTTGTTTCACTAATGCTTTGTACACGTGAATGACACCATCTTGTTTATACACTTTTACAATCCAGGTAACAAGTTAAACTTATAAAAATCATTAAACCTTTCAAATATGATTTTTAAAACTACAATATAAAAGTAAGATCTAAATGCAATTTGACTGTCTCTCTAACTATACCACATTTAGGTAAGAAGCTACCATAAGTGCTATAGTCAATCAAGCAGACAACAATACTAAAGGCAGTTACATCTACTTCAATCCAAAAACTGCAGGCCAATTTCAAATTAACCATTGGTGCATTATAGTGATTGGTTTAATTAAATTTTGAATGTAATGCAGTACACATGCAGAAGGGAATTTAAAAATAGCACGGAAGCTATAGGACTAAAAAAGACTCCATGGTGGACAACATAGTTGAGTTGGAGTCAGAAACAACTTGGAAAACATGACCAGCCAACCCAGATGTGCCACTTCTTAGAGAAGAAGTAACATGGCCAAGAAGGAAGCCTCTAAAGAAGATGCAATGAGGAGACAACTGTCTATTTAATAATGAAAATGGATAGAAAGACTGTAAACATGACAAGCAAATGCTTTCATGACTCTGTAAAAAACATAAGCCAAAACAATGCCAAAGGGGAGAGCTTGAAACTGGTACACCTGATCCCATTGAACAAAACTAAAGAAATGATTAGAGGATGGGGCAATTGAAGTAAGTAGAAAGATGTCCAAGACATAGGCCTTGGTCATTCATAGTCCAGGGGAACAGAACCAGTACTGGGAAGAAAACTCTTCATGATAATGGTTGGGAGGAAAGGTTTGTAAAGAGACACCAGTCCCTGGTCTTACTGAGGACAACAAAAAGATGAGAATTAGCTCTCAAGTCCAAAAGATCCAATACTGTAACCTCAATATGCAGAAGGTGCTGATAAGGTAGTATTCACCAACACTTGAGAATTCATGGCATTGTAGCAACTCTCCAGAACAATTTTTTTAAAAGTTACTTAGTGGCAATGTGGCTCTAAGCCTTGCTATAGTAATTCCAATGTGAAAAGGTCTGAAGTCATCCAGATGGACTCAAAAAGTCATGCATTTATTGCAAATTTTACCAAAATTTGGGCTGAGGCAGTACGAAGAAAAACTACAAGACACTGTTTAAGTGTTAGGTAATGAGAGCAAAGAAGATGGTAGTTGAAGTGCAACATTTTCACAGACAACATCAGTGTAGGTTAAAGCTGAATGTTCAATTTCAGCTCCTCACATACTATGAAAAATATTAATTGTTTCTTTATATGCATTTAGATTTCAAAACATTAAAATTAAATTATGCTTTCAGTAACAACAAAACTTTTGATAATATACAGGTTGTCACATAGAAGACTAATGTACAACTCTCTAACTCACCTTTAGATTCTTAAGGCAGCTGACCATGTGCTTTTTAACAAACACATCTGATGCTGGAGCAAGTTTTAAGTTCAGGTGGGTCAGGTGTTTGAAAGGATTAGTTTCAATTATATCAAGATTAGCATGGTCAACACCGGTCCTTCCTTGAAGATTAAGACTTAAAAGAAACCTGCAATACAAATGTTAAATGAACACTAATTCTTTTTATGAATTGAAGTAAAAATAAAACTATATTTAACTCTAAAACAAATTCCCTGATGAATGTAGGTCTTAAGTGAAAATATAATCCTGATTTTTAAGTAATATATTACATTAACTGCCATGTTTTAGCCTTGAAAGAAGAGTTCTATTGATAACAAACATGACAACTATTAACATTGAATCTGTCTTCAGAGAAAAACTAATGCTGACTTACATTTGATCTTTTTTGAGTTCTGTTCTCAAGGAATTAGGACCAATTAAATACAAATATGCAATAGACAATGACCAGTGTACTATTTTATCTTTTAAGACTAATGTATATGTATATCATGTTTGAATGAACAATGATTTGTTTTCCCAAAGGTTCAATCAAGAGAATTGTCCAATAAATCACTATAGGACAATATTTCTTCCTTGAAATCAGATTTAACAGAAACTTAACACCTAACATTTCTAATATAACAGGAGTTTCATCCTAAAGATTGAGAATGGGAGAAAGAAACCTTAATGATATTATGTTTAATTTCCACACTGCCTTATTTTTTGCAGACAGATTTAATAGGAACCTAAATTATATTTCAACAAAACTCTCAAGTAATTATAATTACATTAATACAAATACATTCTAAAGAACAAACTTGACAAAAATCAATAACAAAACATTTCTGCCACGCTTCAGTTCTTTCTTGAAGATAAATGTAACAGAAAAACATTCATCATGTTTAAATTAACAATTATTCCACAAAGATAATTCAATAGTAACCTGCAACATACAATAGTTAAGTTCAATATGAGCTCTTGCAGAGATCAGATTTAACAAGAATCTTACATTTATCATCTTAAATATATATTTGTTTTTAAAGTCAATATGAAAGACTCGACAAAAATTTGGAAATATAATGTAATTAACTCTTTTCATACATTCAAGCTTGGTCCTTTTGATTGACCTTGTAACCACCAATTAATCATGAGTATCCATATTATAACTTTTAATATATGTGTATCTTTAAAATATTTGGAAAGCTTTTAGTAAACATTACAAATTTTTAGTATTCATAAAATCAATTTTTAATCAAGTATTTTTACTAAAAGATTTGTCCATGAATATATATGGAGTCAGTGTTGACTGTTCCAAATGCAAGGTGATTTTCATGTTAAAATGAAACATAATTTTATTGATATTAAAGTTTTCAAATTTCATTTTATGACCACTAAAACTTTCTACATTTTAATATCAAACGTTTTTTACAGTAATATTTTATGTTTTATGTTATTTTCTCTACCCTAACTCCATATGGATTGTGTTGATTTGGCCAACATTGTAACCACTAGAAAAACAAAGAAATAACTCTAAATTACTCTTTTTTTATCTGACTGCAGATTGCAACAGAAAACTACAGTTGTTTATTCTAAACAGCTTAAGTCTTGTAACAGTTTGCATTTGTTTGTATTTAATTTTATTGTTTTATTGCACTTTGAACCATGTCTAGCTAATGATCCTGCAATACAAGCTGTAAATCACTCAGAAAACACACAGCTGAAGTTAGTGTATTGAATGACATAATGCACAAGCTACTCAAAAGCATACCTCATGGAGAACTTTTATTATTACTATTGTTCACTATCTTACCTAATAAGTTTTTAATTTTTACATTTATAACCAATGATTAAAAATATACACAAAAAACAAGAAATGTAGTACTTATATTTAATGTTATTTTTTGCTGTCAGTTGCTAACGAAATTTAAGCCTACTTTCTTGTAATGACAGTACTATTATATATTAAATAATTTTCATTTATTTAAAGAATGCACATAAGAACATGGAATAACATGCACAAACAAACAATTTCCTATAACTATTATAATTTATTTGGCTTATTAACTACGGCATAAGTATCTTAAAATAATTCTCTTAACTACTTGGTCTGAATTTCATGAGAGAAGCTTTCAATCTGAAGATAAAATAGCTAAAACTCTATGATGAAAACAATGTAGCATTATAAGTCATTTGGTAAATTAAAACTTTGTCTTTCTCTTGGTTATAAATGGTGCAATAGAAAATGTCAGAGAGAATTACTGGCAATTTGTGAAAGAGAGATGTGACAAGTGGGCATTGCAAATGGATCTGACTTTCTAGTTTATATCTCAGTGAACAAAACAATTTGAAAGCTATAAAAAAGTGAACTTTGCCTTAATAATATCTATACTCTTATGAGCAACTTACATCAAATTCAGTACATCAGAGAGGGATGTTTAAAAACTTAGAGGATAGGAAAAAAAGTAGCGAACAAATGTCACAATTCTCATACAAGGGGAGATTGAGGATATATTTGAATATTTTCTCTTAAAAGTAAAAAATTTAGATATATATATATATATATATATTGGTATACTCTGGCGACAG